CATTCTAATGGACTTCCACGCAAACACTGGGCTCAGTCTGACAGGATTTGGAACAGTAGCATGTTGTGCAAGACACACGCGTACGCTGTTGCCACTCAGTGTGTGTGTGTGTTTGAGTATGTGTGAGCACATGACTGTTTATACAACATTGAATTTGCCTCGTGGAAGTTGATCTCGTAACTCGGCGCACCCAAGGTTGCATCTGCCAAAGGGGCTAAATTGCTGCGCAGTTCATTTTGCACGTTGTCAGAGGAATACATACAAATAGATGGATATCGAGGCAAATTGCGTTGTGACCGATTTTGCGTTTTTGAATACGGAAAGATCAGCTGCACCAATATGAAGAGTTTGAGCGTCAAAACTGTGCTTACATTTCGGAAAACTGTACTGAAAAGATTCAAACGTTAAATGTATTGCACACAGAAACCTAAATGTTTAAAAGTAAACAATTCTTGGAGATGACATGCAGATGTACTGAACTCAAAAGTTAAATGCAACTACTTAATCCGTGATTCTTTTGTGTGGTATCCCAAGTTTTAAAATTATCGGAACGTATTTGTTGTTTCTCTTTAAAAAACAAACAAACAAAAAAAACCCCCTCAAATCTTGCCTCCTCAACTGGCCCCTCACCCCCATCCCCATCTTGTAATTTTCTATGCGCCCTATAAAAAAGATAGAGGACAGTAGTCTATTGTTACTTCTAGGCTTGCATCACTTACACTCAACACAATGTTAGAAAATCTCCACTTTCAGCATAATTTTTTTTTGTTTTAAATCACAGCAAATCGACCAATGATAGATAGTTAACTTAATATTGAAACTTTGCAGATAGTTGACACACAATGTGGGTGGACATAGACCAGGATTGGGCAACTGGCGGCAGCCCACGCACTTTGAGTCCTTTGACAAACCCCCCCTTTTTCTGTTCACACAAAGCCCCCAAATTCTTCAGAAAACCCTGATTAAAAAAAAAGAAATAAAATCACACGTTCCCTACGGAGAGTGGGTGAAAATGTAGGGAAAAAAATGGGTGGGGGTCGGGGCAGAAAATACCCGAAAGTCAATTATCTGGCCTGGCACTTAGAGGGTTCAAGCATATGTCAAGCTCCGCCACTGACTGGGGGGTGCTATTCCCCCAGCAGTAATCTGTGTAGCCCTTGTTAAACCCCCCCAGCGTTTTATTTGATATTTTAAAATACATTTAGAAATGATATGGTCTCATCCATCCTCCATATGTGTCAAGCCGCCTTTTAGTCCCAAGAGAGGGAAAAAAAAAATCCTTGACTGCTCAAGAGACAAACCAGAAAGAATCTAGCTGACCTCCACCTTTCCTAACCGACAAGGAGCCCGGGTGACGTGTTCGAGTCGCAGCCTCTAGGCTAGAGTCCAACTTCACGGGACACGTCGTTACTTGTCAGTGCATCTCGGCCTTGATGACAAAAACATTTCAGGAGCAGGCCGACCAGCCCAGCGCAAGTTGGCATGAAGTATTTCACAAGTGCGATGCCAACAACATCGCCTGTTTGCTCAAACTGCGTTCTGATGACGTAACGCAACTGCTCTTCCCAACAAAAATCAACTAAACAAAAACCTTGCTGCTTTATTGCTCCTCCTCCTCCTCTTCGTCGTCCTCCACGTATTGGCACGAGATAGCTTGTTTCAATCAACGCAGTACGGACTAACAAACTCTCGTGGGAGGAGGGGGGGGGGGTGACAACAACGCAAGTTTATCTCCCCCAGCGTGCACTTTGACTCCCGGAGCGACAAATCAACACATCGCCGCCGCTATATAAACGGACGAGGCCACCCGAGGAGCCAATCCGATTTTCCTCATCACACTTCCGGAGGGGAATACAGTGAGTATTCTGACATTTATTTGAGTAAATCGTGTACGTGTGCCTGAGGGGGTAAGATGACATCGACTCCTCGAACTGAATGAAAAAAGCGAATCCGGTCGCTTGAGTGCAAAGGGAACACAAGATGGACAATGTCGCACCCTAGTGGACGGGATGGTTAAATGTTGACTCTGTTGTTTGCAGCTCCATCATCATGAACAAGCTGTTGGTTGTCACTGTGCTGTTTGCGCTCCTTGCTGTCAGTAAGTGGACACTCTTTAGCCATAAGATTCAACTCTATTTGCTCCAGACGGATGCTAAACTTGAAATGTGACGGTGTAAGTTCCCTAAAAAGATTAGAATGGAAAGAAAACAGGAAGGAGGAAGGGCCCCCAGGAAACTTTTAAAGGCAATGTTTTGTGAATGTCATTTATAATCATCATACTAATAAAATCCATGACGACCATGTCAACCGGCCAAATCCCCGAGGAAATGAAGAGTTAACTATTTTGAGGATAAAGCCATAAAGTTAAGATGGGGGGAAAAAATGGTCGACAAAAATGTTTTCATCTTATAAGGATAACAGTACAATATTTTTTTATCCCCCGAGGGAAAAAAAAACGTTGCAATCTTTACAAGAACAAATACTTGTCGGGATGTAAAAAGTCAGAACCTTGGGAGAATTTTTCCAAGATGAATTTGGAAAATTACATATTCAATTCAAAGTTCAACAAGGTAAGAAAGTCAATCTAAAAAATAAAACTATGCTCTTGATGTATGCCTTTTAATCTGGAAACATTTTTATTCTCAAACATAAGACTATAATCTCTTCTTTTGTTCTTTAAAAAAAAAAAAAAAAAGAGGACTTTATTGCTGTCATAACCAACCAGGCCTTACCTTGCTGTCAGATTTAGCAGAGCTTTTACTTGCCCCAAAGACCAAAGCAGGACTTGGGACTTAAGAATGTATTTAAACCCCCCCCCCCCCGGCAAAAAAAAGCCATTGTGGAGACCATTTTGTTCTTTTGGAATACGTATCGTCAAAGAAAAAAAGCAGAAAAAGCAAAACAATCGATAAAAACTGAACTGACACCCTGGATGATGTTTTGCGCGACTGATACTCCCAACTTCATGGGCATCAGACTTGCGAGGTTCCACTGCACACTTGATGCATTGAGAACAGCCCCCGCCACCCTCCGACCCCTCCCACGATGTGAAATCTCTCCAAAGCCCTTGTCCCTTGCCTCACGCAGGCGCCGAAGGCTTCCGAATGCCGAGGCAGGCCAAGGATGAGGAGCGGGGCCCGCTCACCACGTTCTGCAACACAATCAAGTCTTACTACAGCGAGGCAGTCGACACCATCACCGACTACGTGGAGACCGTCAAGGGCCTGAAGCTGGAGGAGAAAGTCAAGTAAGACATCGCAATGGGCTCCGAATGCTCTGAGGGGACGGGGAAGGAACTCACGAAACAAAATTGTCTCTGCAGGAATTTTTACACGGAAACCACCACCATTTTGAGCACCTACAACAGCATCCTACAGGACCAGCTCTATTATCTGTTTACGGGTCAGCAGTAGGACGCGACGAAATGGCCCGACCCAAAACCACAACAGCAACTGCTGGAATGCAAACGGACTAAAATGGCTTGAAGAAAGTAGACAGCCGGGACAACAGCAGCAACAATAAATATTCCGTAGCGTGTCTTGAAACGAGATAACTAAGTGAACCTTCACCCCATTGTGGCCCGCCACACAAAACCAACCTCATTTGACATGTCTTGAAATATTAAAAGTATTTATACAAAAAAAAAAAGTCACGTTTGATGGCTTATTCTGACGTGTGAGAATCAAATGGCGCAGGTGGAAAGTCACTATTGAAGTGTCATCCTACCTTGAATCAACCAAACCTCACATTTTTACATTACAAAAAAAAAATAATGCCATGACAAATTAACAGTGTTTAATCGGCAAAACGCCAGCAGTTACGATTGTTTTGAAAAGTGCTAAAAGCAGAGAATGAAACTGTCCGACTGATCAGTGGGCATCCTATTTTTTACACAAGAGGGCGTCATGGACGGAAAATCATAATTTCCACATTTTTGGGGTGGCCAACAGCCCTTTATCTCAAAATAGGTCCGGCTCTGCATTTAAGAGCAGCCAAATCTCATATCCACATTCAGAACCCCCCCAGTTTCAAATCGGCTCGGGGGCAACGTTTCCAAGCGGGCTCGTTGCGGTTTGAAGACACAGCAGGACATTGGTTGACGTGAATCGACTTCCGGTGTCGATTGACGTAGATAACCGTTGTAGTCGATTGTGCAACCGCGTACATGTTGTTCCCCCGAGTGTCCTAATTTAGTTGGCAATCAATTGTGTTGGCCTGTAAAACCAGACTGAAAGCAAACCAACAAAGAAGGTCTGAGCGAGAGAACTCTTAACGCAGCGTAGGGAGGAGCAAATATTTTGCCCTTGAAAGGTCGACCTGAGTTGTTGTGCCATCACGGATCCTTTATAAAAAGAACGCGTTGGGTAATGGTAAAATATTAACTTTATCAACATAATCAGGCACATTTATTTCCTCAATGTGTTCTTATGTAACCAAAGCTCTGTTGGTGACGCCAGTTATTTGTGTTCATTGCGGGCAAGGTTCTCTTCAATCCAGCCCGCCAAGCATTAACGGTATCAGCAGTTCCGTAATATTTGGAGCATTTTTTGGGGCCATTTTTTTTTTTTTTTACATCTTTTGTTATTTTTATTCATTTATCCCGTTAATTGATTTATTGAAAATAAAAAAAAACAACATGACTACAGTAAACAACTGAGACTATTTTTTTAATCTATTCATGATTCAATTTGAACCTGGCCATTTCATTGTTAAAATAAAACAGTTTTACAAACACATTCCAAAATTTTCCCCAAGTCTCCTCTTTGTATGAGCTGGCCTATCAGGTGTTGCCCCCCTGAGCACAAAAGTGTGTCCACCCTAGCGTTGGAATGATGCCGCCATGGCAAAAATGAACAAACTTGATGACTCTTGTATGTGCTGATGAAAGAATGTTCCTTTGTTCTTCAAGAAAGAGGAGAACATGACGGGAAACAAGGTGTGACCGTCCTAGTTCACTACGCCCTTTACAAAGGTCACGTCCGTCTCGGAAGTTATGGAAGGGGAGGTAAGAAAAAAAAAAAAAAGATCCTCTCGCTCTTTATATAAGGGGCCAAGTTGCGTGGCGTGACAAAGAGAACTCCTCAAACAACCACAACATGGAGCCTCTCCTTCTGCTTCTCGTTTTGGGCCTCACAGGTAAACGATTGCTGACGTAAACGCCTCGTTGGCCTTTGATGATGAGAACATAAAAATGACTATTCAACAGGAGCGTCCTTGCTGGAGGACAACAAGCTGTGCCCGCCTCACTCCAGACCCTGGCAGGTGTCTCTCCAAAGCCGAAGGATGAGATGCAGCGGCGCCCTCGTAGACAAATGGTGGCTGGTGACGTCTGCCGCCTGCGCGCCCATGTAAGCCAGGCCAAAACGATGACGGCAAATCATCAACCTCGATCCGTGCAACTTTTTAAGGATGTTCCTGAAAAATTAGAGGCAGCGCTACTGTAGTACCTGTGACGATGAAAGTGCCTGTGTGTGCCTTTAAAATGCAAGACTGGCCTGTTGAGTGACATCGCAGAATATCCTTGTGTTCGGATTTATTCAATAAAGCGATTTGAAAGAACACAAGTGGCCGTGTCTCTCCTCCAAATATCCTGGCCACCTGTTGCGGGATTAGAATTCGTTCTAACTAGCGGTGGGAGTCTACATGAAATTCGCTAACTTTAGCGTAGACACGCAATTGTGTAACTTGACAGTACGGCGCACTTTGAGCTTCTTTAAGTCGGGGTGAAATGATCCCAAACTTCGAAAAGTCGGTCTTTTATGCACGACTTCCCTCCTGGCTCATGTTAATGCATGACTCAGTAGAAACATCCATGGGGAAAATAAATCACGGGAAAATTCTGCGATGTAGCTAGCGAATAAGGTGCAGTGTAAAGTACAATCAAATAATTATTTGATTCAGTTAAGCGGCGTAAAGTAAAACGCAATATTGCCATGGATGACTTCACGTCCGTTTTCACAGGGGTTAACGTAGCTGGCGAACGGATAGAAGCCAAACGGCCGAAAATGTCCCTTTTCAACCTTTCCAGAGGGACCGCCATCAACGCGTCGTTGGGGGAACACGACGTGACGGCGGAGGAGGGCACCGAGCAGCACATTCCTGTGGCGGAAGTCATCCGCCACAGCCCGTACCGGTCGCCCCTCCACAGCCTGGCCCTGGTGCGCCTGGCCCAGCCGGCCCGCCTGACCCAACAAGTGCAGCCCATCGGCCTGCCGGGCCGCTGCCCTCAGCCGGGAGAGAGCTGCAGCGTCAGCGGCTGGGGCTCCACCGTCCCCAACCAATGTAAGTGCACGCTTGAGCTTTTGCTATTTTTTGCAGAGGGGCTCAGGGTTGCCTCGGGCTGGTGTTGCAAACGTCTCAGCTCACCCGTTGCGATTGCGTAATTGTTGTCCCACGAATGCAATTTTAATCAGGACACTGGGTCTCGACGAGCGGGAGCACATTTTATCGCAAAAAACAATTTTCTTTTTTGCCTCGAGTTCCCCTTTAAGGCATTTACTGGGGGAAAATCTTGGTATAAAAGTAGCTTCGGGTATCACAAGCCCCAAGGCCAACCTCAAGGAAACGTTTCCTCTCGAATATATGCTTCAGATTGAAGGAGAAACAAAACAGAGACACTGACTCTTTGTTGTTTTGGAAACAGACGAGGATCCGAAGCAACTCAAGTGTTTGACGGTGCCTGTTGTGGAAGATCAAATTTGCATCAACACTTTCCCCGACTACATCTTCTGGAGCTTGGGGATGGTGTGCGCTGGCGGAGCTGACGCCACCGGCTGCTTGGTGAGCCCAAATGACCTTTGCCTTGTTTACTTGGCCGCTTTTGCTTTTACTCCACTTTTCATTGAACCAATATTCTTCTTCTTCTTTTTTTTTCCTGCAACGTCATCCCATACCACCCGCGCAGTATGACAAAGGCGCAGTGCTGGTGTGCGGCGGACAGCTGCAGGGCGTGCAGTGGTTCAGTCACGGCTGTCAGAACGCGGAGCACCCCAGCGTCTACACCAAGCTGTGCAAGTACAACGAGTGGATGCGCAGAGTGATGGACAGCCACACGCCGACGACCACCACCACACGGGCCACGACCTTCAAGAGGCCTTGAGGGGGAGCAGGGGGGGGGGTGTCACGAAATGCAGGGAAAACACAAAACTTGTTACTTTTTGTTTCCTTTAACAGCTGCCTTGTGGCTCATGTGAGCAATCAGTCATTCAATGAACAACTTTAAGACAGTTAACACCCAGACTATACCTGAAGCTGTAATTCCATAACACTTTCATTTCAAATCGGTCCAAAACTTTACCTTCAATAACAAATGACTTTCGACAAAACGAAATCCTTTCTTAATAGCCATTCTATTCCATTTTTTGATAGAGCGGTGCCTTGAAATACAAGTGCCATGACTTGAGAATTTTTCAAGACACAAGCAGTCACATGACCATATATATATTTTTTTTGGTGGGGGGGGGGGATCTTGAGAAACAAGTGGACTTCCAAATCACACCAGCAGATGGGGACAGCACACTTCACAACATCCGGCCATCACTAATTCGCGTTTGTTTCCTTGCCCAACATCAGTTGACGGCAGTAATGTGTTACGAAGCTAGTAGCCTCTATCTTTGCAACAGCTGGATATGTTTACCACCCTTGCTTTACTCCCACCACGCTACAAGTCAGCTTGCAAACACCTGCTGGCCAACTCCACTAACATGGCATTTTTATACTTGCTAACCCCCCGCTTATTTACAGATACACTATTTCACAGTTTGGAGTCAAATAAATACGCTTTTTTTTGGGGGGGGGGGCAAGAAGGCTAGGTGCTTAGACCCCTTCTATATTTATCTAACACTGTCATGAACGATTTGCCTTCCTTAATGTCTTCCAATTTTAATCCTGCAGTCTCGCATCTGATTTTGTTTGAAATAAACCATGATACACATGTGCCTTTGCTTGAGAGGTGGCCTTTTTGTGGGGGGGGGGGGGTTATTGAACACAATCGATTTTATCAACAGCGTACCCGAAATCGGCCTAAACAAATGCAAAGTCATCCAAAACTTTCAGAACAGTCAAGAAGTATGTCAATTGCAAAGGATCCTTAGGACACACCGTACTCGTCACGGATCACATCCCGTTTTCACGAGGGGGAGAAAAAAATGGTGCGCTGCGTGACTACAAGGCGCCGCTAGAGGGCACGCGAAACCAGTTTTTAAATTCTCTCAAAACAGGCGCGCCTGACGCTCTCGCTGCTTGCAAGCAGGTGACGCCACATTTCCAATTCTTCGCGATCTTTAGTGCACGGTGCGCTGTGAGGGAGATCAGAGCCATGTGCGCTGACAGAAATACACCGGTGCCATCAAGACATGGATATCGGATGGCGATCTCGAGTACAAAGGCGCACGCACACGCAGAGTGCGTGGCAGCTGTGTCCATAATCCGCCAAGACTGTGGAAGGAGGAGGCCAGTGGGCCATCTGTTGTCAGCAGCGCTCCCTTTTGCTGCTCCTCCTCCACGGCTGGGGGTCGGGAAGGGGGTGGGGGCGCAAAACCAACTGAGCAGTGGCAAAGTTGTAGACGTCACTTCGGAAGACTGCTGTGATGTTAATTGATGTGTTGTCACAAGCGCAGCCTGGGTTTGATTGCTCTCTCAGGCACGCTCAATCCTTCTGATTGACACTAATTTGATGGATTGTAATGGCTGCTGCTGTTGGTTTTGTGGTGTGGAGGTGTGTTGGGTGATTCTCCCCCTCCGGGATCTGCTCGGGAAAACAGTTAAAACCAGCAAATGTGTACGGACTTCGTTATTGTGACATGAAAGGGAGCATTTGCTGATCAGCGGGCTCACACTTTTGCCAGACGTAAGTTGAGGAGCAACTGGTTTGTAAAACGTGCCCCCCCCCGGAGTCATTCACCACAAAGAATGACAGAAAGGAGCAAAACGGCTCTGAACGATGACCAAAATGTTGATTATTTGCTAATTGATTCAGTGATGCCTCTCTAATGACCACAACTAACTTGTGTATGTGCGAAGGTAAATGCTTGATGATTGGCCGACGACCGGTCCAGGGCGTCCCCCCTGCCACTCACCCCAAAGTCGGCTTCGTAGGCTCTCGCTCGCTCGCTGCCCATAATAGCGATAGAAAATTGAAGGTCGGATGAGAACAAGTTGGAAGTCAACCAACGCCAGAGAATGGACCGTGCTCCACTTTGAAAGTTCGACTGCATGTGACGAGCATTTACGTCACAGGTGTCAAACTCAAGGCCCGGGGGCCAGATGTGGCCCACCGCATCATTTTATGTGGCCCGTGAAAGCAAATCAAAGATGACAACTTCCACGATGCTTGCTAAAATCTGGACCAAAACTTTAAATTTTCATATGGAATAAATCAGTGACATATTGAAAAGCATTTTCTTGTTACTAAACTCCTCATTACAGTTGCTTAAACAATTGAATAAAACATTATTCTTGACTTCTTTATCTAGTTTCAGTCATAACGGCCCTTCTCGGGAAACGGTAATTATAATGTGGCTCGCGACAAAAACGAGTTTGACACCCCTGATTTACGTCATGAACACGTTGCCGGCACCAAGTCTCACCCTCAGTCAGAAGCATGGCGTGCAAAGCCAACGAGAGGCCCAAACAAGTTTTTGTTTTCCTCCACAGTCATCCATCCTGGCAGGATTTATGCTTTGGGTCCCTCCTTGCTCCGTTATCTCCAAATAAGGAAGTGATTTATTTGGGGTAGGATAAAGGGTACCTTTGTAGTGTGCAGGAGTTGGTACTTTAATTCCCTCGATTTGGCGTGTCAGACGCTGACCCTGTCGAGCTCCCACTCACACTTGAACGGAGCGCCGGAATCACAAGTCGCAAAGATAAGACGACCTTGGTGGCCTCGAGGATTTGGGAGGCCCGATAGAATTCGGGAGACAAGTCCGACTCCCACTCAACGCAATCTTTCTTTCTGTCGCTCAGACTTGGACTCGCATTATAGGAAAAAAAAAAAATAGATGTATTTGTTTCGTATTACATGACGCCGAGTTTGAATATCTGATGATGTGATCCAGAGATCAGACCTGTGTAAAGTCTGCGTTATGATCTTTAAAATGTCCACATTGTGAGTTTAAAAAAAAAAAAAAAGTGCACTTGGAAAGATTTCTCATCTGTTATGCTCCAGCTTTAGCATTCATATTTGTCACCTGTTCCATAAACCGATTAATGGCGGGCGTTCAGTGTTTCATCCCCTAACGTAGAAAGTTTTCTTTCTGGGACTTGACGGGCTTTCTGGCAGGCGAAGCCAAGCGGACTTCCCGCGTGCTTTTATCACCGACTTGCACATCACGCCGGCGTTCGCCCGTGACAACTGAAATGGCGAACGCGCAATCAAAACGCCATTCATAAACGGCAGCGCTTTCCATCACGGCTGACAGCTCGTTCGGGAGGCGGCCTTCGTGAGCGCACGTGATGTCATCGCCGGGCTAACGGCTGTGCGAGATCAACCGGGGCCACGCCAATCACGCAGAGTCTCTCCAACGTCGTTCCGCCGAGACCGCCGGCTCATCAGGACGAGATAATTTGCCTGAAGAGCCTTTACGACACTCTGCCGAGAGGCCCCAGAGTCCGGGGGAAGGATAATGCGCAAGCTAATGGGGTAATGAGTACAGAGATGAGGCCAAACAAAAAAGATAGTGTGTTTCCGGTAACATGAAATTTCAGCATAGGGACGATAGGTCGGACAAAGTTGTTTTTTTTAATCTTTTTTTTTCCCATCAAAAATTTAAACAAAATAACCGCAAAACATAAAACAAGAAGACATTGAACCCGCCGCTCCGCACAGCTTCCTGAAGTGGGGCGCAAGTGACGTTCCGGCCGGGTGACAAATCGAATGCTTTTATCATAACGACGTCTATAAATAGACAAAGACAAGGTGCAGTCTGGCCCACGAGAAAGCGCATGTTCTAAATCAAACGTCAGCTTTGCAGGAGATTAAACAGATTGTTGTTTGATTCCTGACTTCTCTCTTTTTTTTTTTTTGGAAGACAAGCTTGTCAGACGGCAGCTCGTTTGCCATCGGTGCTTAAAATCTTAACTGGGAAAGACCTCAAACGGATTAAAAATGCGCCGAGCCAATCGATATCATGCTGCACATGGTGCAATTGATAATGATCGTCAGTTTGTGAAGAGTCAGTACAAGCTGTCCGTCTCGAGATGTTATCCTGCTTTTCCTCTTGCGGGTCCCAATGAATGACTGAACAGCAGATTAAAAAAAAAACAATCAAAAAAAACTTACCTCTGCCAAGGCCGGCACGAAACAATCAAATGAGGGTCAGCCAGCTGTAACGGTCTAAGGATGCCCGTTTCCAGGTTGTATAATGTGCCAGTCCAGTCCTGTAGGGAGTGATGATGCTCATTACAAACCGTTTACCGGGAGCCAAACTAATTTAAGAGGACATGTCTTCATTGCTCATCAAATAATAGTGGCCACATTGCTCAATAAACCTCATAAATACTGTTGAGCATAAAACTGGGTAGAAGAAAAATACTAACTTGTGGCTGAGCATATGGTCATTTATTGGGTATACCAGGTATCCTGCAAAAGGATTGCGCTCATGTATGAGTAATGCACCATTCAAGTAAACAATTGGGTTCCAAATTTAAGTCAACTCAATATGAGATGATTGTTTGAATTTCACTTTGAATCGCATGTTTTGGCCCAGTTACACACGCACTTTGAAGGAGGTGGGTGAGGGGACGAACACACACACACACACACACACACACACACACACACACACACACACACACACACACACACCACAATTAGCTAGGAATGTTAGCCCCTCGAACCCCGACGGCTCGCCCCGCCCCCGGGCACTGTAAATCACAGTGGAGGTCAAGATGAGTGAACTGGAAATTTTTTATGACTCTGAAAGTATTTCAATGAGGCCTAAGGTCATAGTCTTGGCCAACACATACAGACCATAAAGCATGTATGTGTGCGGACATCTTGGAGTTGTGCTTAAGACCACACTATTCGAGACCGGGACAAGACCAAGACTTTTGGGAGGCAAGAAAGATTCAAGACTAAGATCGACACAACCCGAGACCGTGACAAGACAAAGACCATAAAAAAAATCTAGTTTAACAATCATGACAAGTTAAAGAGCATTCTCACTTTAATCACAATTCCTTTTTAAAATACGTTTGCAAGCCAAAAAGAGGGTCTGCACCTCTTTCACAGGACAACATAGAAAAATCTGCAATATTTATTTTTCTGCTAAATTCTTGCGAAATACTAAATTATTGTATTTGCACATGAAGCTCGACTCAGCTCATCTTTATGTTTAAAAAAAGAGCCCATTTATTTGATTTGACGCAAACCAAATTAATTTGTAATCTAAAATCTCTTTCCAGAACTATTCAGTGGAAACTGCCAAATATGTTATGGGTGAGCTACATCAACAACCATTCACCTTCACAACTACGGACAACTTAGACTGGAGTTTTCAATGAACCAACATGGATGTTATGCTAGCCACCAAGCCATAATACGTGCTCATAAAAAATAAAAGTCCATCATAACCTTAACCTTGACTGTGGAATGCTCACTTATCATGGCTGTTTTTCGGCACCACCATAATAACTCAAGAAATTGCGTTCGGGTTTTTCACCCCCAAGGGTATAAACAATGGAAAACTGCCATCCAAGTAACTCTGGACATTTTATAAATAAGTACATTATTTGCTGTGTCACTAAAGTTAAGGGCGTTGTAATGAAAAGTGTGTGATTGAATATCTACGTGGAATTCTTGGAGAATAACCTTAACTGTTAACTACACTGAAAATGAGGGGATGGCGATGATGTTTGGAGATGATACATCGTTGAACGTTGAGGCTGTGTGTGTGTGCGTGTGTTTTGTAATATACAGTGAGCCAAATCAAAAGGTCAGTAGGCTTCTCA